GGGGGGGGGGGGGGTGGCGGTTGCCCACACCCCACCAAAATTTCCACCACTGGAAACGAGTGAAACCCAATGAATTATCAATTATGTACAACTGTCGGTTGTATCTAAAAATGAAAATTTACAGATAAAAACACGACTCTGCACACATGAAACTTTCATGTTAGTCAAAAATATTTGATAGGTTTGAATATGATCAATCATGTTTAACATTGATAAGTTGAGCTATATTAATACATTCAAATGCTTGTTGCAAGCATGAAGGTTTCACGTAAGATTAGACAATGTTTTATCAGCAACTGTTCAATCCCACATGCAGACAAGAGTACTCTTGTTTTATGTTTAGAACAACACAAAAGTTGCAGTCTTGGGAGCGGCAGGGGGCATTGGACAGCCATTGTCATTACTTCTAAAGATGTCACCATTAATTGATCAACTGGCATTGTATGATATCGTCAATACACCAGGTAAAGCCTTTGATTTAGATATCTGACTGTTTATTTATTGCATTGACTAGTTTTAATCATTACACTTTCGTTATAGGTGTTGCGGCCGACCTAAGTCACATTGAATCTGCGGCTAAGGTAATTAGTTAAGTACTCTTGATTAAACTTGGCCATACTTTTAGTTCTCTTCTTTTACATATTAAATGTTTAAAGATAGTTGTACAACTGTTACAACATTGTTACAAGTTTGTTGCAAGATTGTTACAAAGTTGTTGCAAGATTGTTGGACAGTTATCATAAGGTCATTAAAGTGTTACAATAGAATGTTGTTGCAAGGTTGCTGCAAGGTTATTGCAATATTCTGAAACACTTGAAGGTTTTTGCAAAATTGTTAGAAATAGGTCATTACAAGGATTTTAAAATGTTGTAACAATAGAAGGTTGTATCGAGGTTACTACAAGGTTATTGTAATATTCTGAAGCATGTGAATGTTGTTGCAAGATTGAAACCACATTGTTATAAGATCCTCCTCTGCAGATAACCCATCATCAAGGCGCCGAACAAATGGAGGAGGCGCTAAAAGATTGTGACATTGTCAGCATACCTGCGGGATTACCAAGAAAACCTGGTTAGTAACACCTGACAAAAAATATCCTGTTCATCCAGTTTCCTGTACAATCCTATTTTTTCTGCCATCTCTAGTTTGAAATGGTTGCAACTATGTGGTTACCTACTGACCCTATTTTTTCATTGGTTACTTCATAATATGTGACGGCAAAAATTGCATCAGTTGTCATCACATGGTAGTCTTGGTTGAAGTCTGTCTCAGAAGAAAAAGTAGGAAGACTTGGGATTTTTGCAGCATTTCGTATGTTACTTGCAAAAATTTGTTGTTGTCAACTCACAAGCCACGCCTCAATTAAAAAAAAATTCTGATCTACCTAGATCCCATTTTTGACAGGGTATGCACCTTGAACTACAGGATATTTTCGACCTAAAATGCTTTGAATTAACCAAATTCCTTTCATCTGAAGAGGTTGCTGTGTTGTAAATACTTTTTATGTAGATAACAAGATTACATTAATTAATATGCTACCTTCTTCTAACTTTTACAAGGTATGACAAGAGACGACTTATTCAACACAAATGCTAGCATTGTTAAAAACCTAACAGAGGCTTGTGCAAAATACTGTCCTAATGCCATCATTAGTATCATTTCAAATCCTGTAAGTGTTGGAGCCTTCAAGTATTGTTCACTATCCCATACAACAAAATCCTATTGGAATTCTGCCTGGGATTGTTATTGCATTTGAGCGAATTTGTGTTGGATTCATTGGATTCCACTAAAAGTAAAATTTAAATGCCTCAAACCAATTGGAATTTGGGTCAGTTTCCAATAGAAATTCATATGATAAACCCAATTGGATTTTTTGTAAGGGATCAGAAATTCAGATTTCAGAATAAACAGTATGATGGACTCTATCGAGATTTTGTTCACTGGCAGGAATTTGGTTGAGTATTCCACCTACAAAATTACCTAAGTACTATGATGTATTCTGTATCTTATCAGGTGAACTCGACTGTACCCATTGCTTCTGAAGTGTTCAAAGCAGCGGGCGTTAATGATCCAAACAGGTTTGTCAAATATATTATAGATGATTATTTCTTTTCTAAATGGTAAGTATGATTTACATAATTTGATCATTTGAATGTTTGTAGAATATTTGGTGTGACAACGTTAGACATTGTGAGAGCAAATACATTTGTTGCTCAGCTAAAGGTGAGTGAAGCTGAACGTTATTCCTTTTCACAAAAATAACAAAAATTGTAATTTGATTTTGGGCCAATTTCCAATTCGAGTGACTTTTTTTGTTGGAAGTTACAGTGAATGCCAATTAGAAAATTGAAATTCCTAGTGGAGTTCCAATTGGTTAAATTAATTAAAATTAAACTCTTATTAGACTTCCAGCCAATTAGAAATTATTCCTAGATTGGAATTAAAATTGGATTTTCCTAGCACAAGTTCCTTTCTTCAGTTGTCATGATTTTATTTTTGAGCAGGATCTTGATGTTAGCAAAGTTAAAGTTCCTGTGGTTGGTGGACATTCTGGAATAACCATCCTACCCTTGCTATCTCAGGTACGTCTGATGTTCTCATCAATGTTTATTTAACAAAAAAATATTGTATTTTATTATATAAAGTATAGTGCTTTATGTAGCGAGCAGGAGTGTTTTATTAGGTTTAAAGCCACGAGCGCACAGCGCGAGTGGCTTGAGACCTAATAAAACACGACTCAAAAATGGTTATTTTTCACGCACGTAATTCAATACAAAATTTGCGAACTTCACAGGGGGCTATATTTTCCTCATTTTACAACATTTTGCAACCAAACTTTGCAATTTTACTATTTTTCACATGCTCTTCCTAGCTGTGGTGATGGATTTTGTTCTTCTTGCCTAGATCAAAATTTAGTCTATAAGTATAACTGGAAATGCCTGTTGGTTAAATATTGTTTCATTTTAGACGCAACCAAAAACGTCTTTCACTCAAGCTGAGATTGACAGTTTAACAGACAGAATTCAGAACGCCGGCACGGAGGTTGTGAATGCAAAAGCTGGAGCCGTAAGTTTGGCTAACGGTTTAGAATCATGGAAATTGTTTATTTTTCTATCCAGGATTATTCTCTGACGCTGTTTTAATTTCCAGGGTTCTGCAACCTTATCCATGGCCTATGCTGGAGCAAGATTCGTGTTTTCGGTAAGAAAAAGAAGTCATTTACAAATTGCGGTCTAGTTGACTAGTCCTCAAGAACAGTACCATCAAGTTCAGGCTTCGTTTCTAAATTCACTGTAGAAACATTACAACTTTGCCTCGTTCTAAGGCTATTATCTGTGGGCATTCGATCATGATTTCGAAAAGGTCTTTTGGTTTGTCCAGAAAACTCTCATGCAAACTCTCGCTTCTCAACTCTCTTCAACTCTCATGCAACTCTTGCTCTCGTTTGACCAGGACATGAGAGTTGAGAAAACTCTCATGCAAACTCTCGCTTCTCAACTCTCATCAACTCTCATGCCACTCTTGTTCTCGTTTGACCAGGACATGAGAGTTGAAAAAACTCTCGTGCCAACTCTCGCTTCTCAACTCTCTTCAACTCTCATGCAACTCTTGTTCTCGTTTGACCAGGACATGAGAGTTGAGAAAACTCTCATGCGAACTCTCGCTAATTAGATCTCAACTCTCGTGCAACTCTTGTTCTCGTTCGACCGGGACATGAGAGTTGAGGAAACTGTCATTGAAACTCTCGCTTCTCAACTTTCATCAACTCTCATGCAACTCTTGTTCTCGTTTGACCGGGACATGAAAGTTGAGAAAACTGACACGCAAACTCTCGTGGCTTCTCAACTCTCATCAACTCTCATGCAACTCTTGTTCTCGTTTGACCAGGACATGACTGAGAGTTGAAAAAACTCTCGCTTCTCAACTCTCGTCAACTCTTGTTCTTGTTTGACCAGGGCTTATAAGCCACTATAGGCCTTAGTTGAAATTTAAACAATCATTAATGATGTTTCAGTTGTTGAAAGCTTTACGTGGAGATTCTGGGATCATTGAGTGTGGA